ACGCATTCTTTCGGCCTCCCTGTATTCCTCATTGTATGAGGATTAAGGAATACTCCTTAACAGGAGGTTTTTCCAAAACTGGCCCCATGTAGAGGGGCCAAATTTCAGAAAAACCTCTTCCGGAAAAAAAAAGGGGGGGGAAAGATAGGCAAATTGAGGTTCGCCATTTGCGTATCTTCTTCCGATGTAACTTTGCAGTCTAGACCACCTCTGAGGGTCAGATCCTAGAAGCAGCACTGCCAGTCTTGCAGCTGGTCACAATGGAAAAGCAGTACCCAAGAGAGCTCAGCTTTCACTCTGCAGCTAGGGGCAGCACCCCTAAGGGTGGGAGGACAAGCAACAACAGAGCAGCTGTCTCCATTTCAGGAGTAGTTCAACCAGCTGCACCATGGTAACAGTATTTTAGCCCTCTGTTGACAACAACAGGCTGTCAGGAGACTGATTGCTGTGAACAGTAGAATCCACTCAAAACAAACCACCACTACACAAATGCTATTTAATATCTATGGTCGGGGCACAAAGGAACCTTTTACAATACAAATTTGTTATGGAAACACAATTAAAACATTTCTTGCAAAAGCTGGTTTAGTATTCAGATGGCAAGAGACAGTAGAAATCTTCAAGTTTGAGTCCTTGGCATGTGCCAAGTGTTACAATGTATAGCGTGGAGGAGAGGGAGGAGAGGAATATAAGGAAACACAACAGTGCACACTGCCTCGTTGAGGTTAGAGACATGGAATGATTGAGTACAAGTACAGCAACAAACTCCAAAAAATGGCAAACACAAAAAAGAGGTCTATTTCTTCTTGGTGTTTTATTTTCTTTCTTGCATATTTATTTCTGTGTGTGTGTCAAGAAAAACTGGTCTAATTACCAAAGGCTGCAGGACTAAGCTTCCCTGTTCCCTTTACTCTCAAAGGACATAGGCCAGTTTTAGCTAGCAATTTCAGTACAGACATTATGTAGTATTATAGGCTGAATTGAGGTCAGGTGCAACTATGCCTAGGGTAGACAAAGCGAAGACCTAATCCAAAGCTCATTGAAATCTATGGGAGCTTTGTCCAGTTAGGGCCCTTAACTCAGGCAGAAGTTATGTGACCATACTGTCTTTAATCAGAAGTGCACTCATTCCTCTGTGTAGTCCCAGCCACGGCTTAACTGCACTTGGCTCAGGGTCTCTGCTCAAGGCTTGCTACATGTTACTGCAATAGTTTCCCAATGCTGCCATCTACAGACTAGCTTTATCACAGGGCTTTAAAGTTCAAACTGCTTTCAAGCTAACACAGCAAAACACCACTAATAAAAAACAGACTGACTATAATCTAAGCTTTGACTGTTTTAAGATCTCAATACCTGCACAATGCTGACATTTTAACATTATACTAAAAATGTGCTACTAAGAATATTACCTTGTAGGCATGCTTATCAAAGGTTTCCTTGTGACACTGATATACAAATAGTATTCCTGATTTTTGATTTAACACTAACAGCTGTGGTATGATGGCTTTTATTTTTATGATGTGCCTTAACTATAGGACTTGGGGATACTCAACGTTTAGAACAAATAAGCAGAACATCTTGGGTCTGCAGTATATATAGCTCTAGAGCATTATACAATTTTGGTAAATTTTAAACTAACAGGCATCCCGTAATTTCTTTTTCTATTTCTAGTGAGATGCTTCTCATCCTGGAGAAGCAAGAGCAGCAGTTATCAGAGGAACTGAGTGAGGGAGATGCAGTGGGGAGAGGGTTACCTGATCTTTGGAAACACTGATCCTATCTGCTCTTTTTTGTAACTGTTACTCACCCACAATAGGAAAGTTAGGTGGATGAGACAGAAAAGCAGAGCACCAGGTTAAGGGCAAAGTATTCCCACAAGGCTAGGTCAGATAAGGGCAGGCAGGGTCAAGAGGGTGAGTTTAATCTGCAGGGAGCAAACAGAGTGAAAATTGAGATGGGATTACTGCTATTTAATTACTTGTACTATCATAGTACTCAAATTATTGTCAGACACATACCTCCTGCACAAAGACAGACTAAAATACAACTTCTACCCACAAAGAGCTTAAAATCCAAATAATAAAACAAGAAACAGGCTGCTACAGACAGGATGGTTCCCGTAAAAACAACCAACACAGCAGTACTGATCAGTATGACAGACTGCAGTCTTACCACAGTAGCAGCAAAAGCAGAGTCAGCTTTTCAGGCTAATAATCAAAGTAAAAAACCAAATAGAATAAAAAACACATTGAAAACATGGAAAGATGAGTCAATTCTCGGGCAGACTTAAATAGAAACCTTGAAATTAAAGTGTTAAACAGGTTATTTTCACTATGAATTTTTTTAACTGACTTACTAATTAAACAAGACACCTATCCTCGGCTCCAGGTCCCTTTGCTACAGTACAATAAAGAAGGATTAAATTAGGTAGCTAGTAAAAAGGCTTGAAATGGGGGTGGGGGACAGGTAAAGCAAGCACCTAACTCCTCATATAGCCAACTTGACCGTAACAATGTAGCCTACTTGCAGTCTATTCCTGTTTTATTTTTGAGCCACACATCCATCCACAAGTCCCTTCAGGGCAGAGACTATCTGTATAGCATTTGCACAAAGGGACCATGGATTAGCACTTCAGAGTAATTATCTGTAATACCTAGCTCTTATCAGCTTCCAACTGTTTGCCATTCACATACTTTAGGATGTTTGTGAAAATAGATCCCCAAAGTACTAGTCTTGGTCATCCTGCACCCCTCTGTCTTGCCATCTACCACCTCTCTGCCAGTGTTTTTGGCAGGAAAGGGCAATGGATTTGTTTTCCCTCCTCTAGCAACATCTCCTTTATGTAGCTAGGGATAGGGAAGCCCTCAGCTGCTACCATTCTCCCTGGTTTCCACAGTTTGTTTGTCTTTCCCACCTGAGTTGTCTCCCCTTTAATTTTCTCTTGTCCTCCATTTGCTCACCCCTGCTCTCTGCTGCATTTGCCTCAGCCCCCACTTTTAGATCTCCCAGTTAATAAAAAGGAAGAGAAATCAGTCCCCCCTTTTCCCTTTGTGGTCAGTGGCATTTCAGGGAGAAAAAGGAACTGTTCCAGTGCAGTAAGTGAAGGTTGATTTTTCCTTAGCTGCTCTCCTTGTCATTATCAGACAAGAAGCTGAGGTAAGGAGGGAGAAGGATTGTTTCAGGCCTCATCTGCTTATTCCCAGTAACTACCATTGGCAGGCTAAAGAATTTAATAGCTTGACTGGAATTTGGACTTAAGTTAGTTTAAAAGCTTGGACAACCGCAGTCAGAAAACTGACCAGCTGGCATGCAGATTAGAAACTTAGAGTAACCTTGATGTTTCCACTGAACTAAAAACGGAAGAGCTTCCCTGATAAGACGTTTCACTGATAGTGTTGGGATGGGAGAGATGCTCCTACAAATACACTCAATGCATGGCATAGTTCTGCATTTCCCCAATCCATCTGGGACTGGGGGCACAGAAGAATTCCAGAAGCAGACTTTTAACCACATCTGCTGCTAGGCAGCATGAGAGACTCAGTTGGAAGGCATGTCCAAGGCAGAAAGGGTGGTTCCTATTCTATGAAGATACACTCTTTGCTTTCATTGAAGTCATGACATTAGCCATACTTCTCTCCAATCATATTTCCAGAAACAGGTAGACAGGGCTGCTGTCATTCTATGAACCGGAAAGCAATTTAAGTTATCATGGATGTCTTTGAAATGACTTGAGTACCTCAGGCCACTTTCCTAGAAGCAAGCTCTGTTCACTTGTAACCTAAGTTGGACACCACAAAGATGAACAGCAAATAGCATTGCAAGTCTAATGCAACCCCTAGCTCCTTTTCCTTTAAGAAAACAGAGTTTAACAACCCTAGTAAGAATCTAAATTTAGTTTCATCAGCTAGTCAGTGGAATTTCCATTGACTGTTGATAAGCGAGCCGCAGCAGGGTTCATTGCATCCCTGGGAATTAATCCCGCTGTGGCTCTGCCTTTTAAATGTATTAAGAGCTTACTGGCTCTCATACATTTTGAAGGCTGGTGTGCAGCATGGGGGACCCAGCATGAACTGGGATACCTGATTCCCAGCTTGTGCTGGGGTCACCCCACTGCACTCTGCTTTTTAAATGCAGTAAGAACTGGCAGGCCCTTAATCAAGTTAGAGCAGAGGCACAGCATCTGACACTGGGCACAAGCCAGGATTCAGTTGATTCATGGCTTCTGCCTAGCCCCTGCTACCCATCTGCGTCCTCTTTTAAAGGTGGCTTCCCCTAATACTGGCTCCACTCCTCCCCCAGAGGCAGCAAGGGGAGGAGCAAAAGGGAGGGAAAGTGGTGACTAGTCACTACATCCCTAATTCTTGCACCTCTTCACTTTTGGGGGGGGGAGTGGGGTGGGGAGGGGTCCTACCTTCCTGGATTAGAGCTGTCAGATGAGTTACCATTACCACTACTCACAGGAGCTGGAGTAACTGTCAACAGGGGCTCTCTAGCTCAAACTGCTACTTACCTCCATGATTAGGTTGGTGTAACTGATCACTAGCAAGGCCTGGGTAGATAGGTTTTAAAAAGCCACTCCTCAGCACCACGGACACTCATCTCAGTCTACAAAGGCTGGTCAGTCTATACCCAAGTATTATGAAGTCCCCAAATATTATGCACTCACTACCTTGTGGTATTTAGTCTTCTTGCCATGATTCACTATTGGATAGGCATGTATAAGACCACAGGTGTTTCATTCTGCGCTCTATTACATTGTGCCCTTTCAAGTTTAGAAGACAGCTCTAAAATGGACATTCTACCCCTAGAGATCCAAATCTAGGACATCCAACTTAAGAGCCAGAACTTTATTACCTTTAGGCCTATAGCTCTTGTTCAAGTGATATTTTATCTGTCACGTCTCATTGCTCTCTGGTAACCACACTATCAGGCATAGTGTGCAGTGATGCCAGCCTTAACTCTGCTGTCATTAAGAGTCACACTGAAAAAAGACTCATCTATTCACTTTTAACAGCAGAAGAGTTTTATTTGTCCTATTAAGACAAAAAATCACAACCAACAGTTTAACTTACAAGCACAGGTTAAACAAGCCATGTAAAGCTTTTTTACTCAACATGTGAAAAAAATCAGGGCCTAAGAGTCCAGAGACAGATCTGTCAGAACAGTTCATTAGAATCTCAGGTTATTTATCGTAACTCCTCTGATGTCACTTGTATACTTTGGAGGTGAACAGTTCTGCAGAACTGTTTAATTGGTCAAGCCAGCTGTGTTTAACAAGCACTGAAGCAATATAAGATTTAGAGAATGCATTTGTTGATATGATATTAAGAATGCCTTCCTTCAACTCCCTCTTCAGCATCTCAGGCAGACTTGGAGAGAGCCACAGCAGAAAAGCGAACTTCTCCCCTCTCACGTTCTGTGAACTGTCTGCAGATCTTAGCAGAAGCCTTAAAGAGAAGAGTTCTTACTTAGTATTCCCAATACGCCACAGCCAGTATGCAATACTCCTTAAAGTTAATTATAGAAGCACCTGATCATCTGTTTGCCATCCTTGTTAAACCAAAGGTACCTGGACTAGGCTCAAAACACTGTCACACCAACTTACAGCATCACTAGCTGATAAACAGCAGTGACACTCTCAAGCCATGTGACCACTGTGCTAAACACATGCTGTTCAGACAGTTTTAGAATCCCCCTCTCCCCGCTCAAGTCCATATACACTATAAACTCATTACTGAAGTGGGCATACCTTCAACAGCAAGTCATCTGAACTTTCTCCATGATTTACAGGAAATGGCATGCGTCCATCTGTAAAGAAACAGCCTCATTACTTGGAAAGCTATTTTAACATTACAGGCAGTCCCCGGGTTACGTACAAGATAAGAACAAACCTACAGTGCCTAAGTTGAATCTGTATGTAAGTCGGAACTGGCATCCAGATTCAGCCGCTGCTGAAACTGACCACCAGTTCTGACTTACATACAGATTCAACTTAAGAACCCCAGGCGTCCTCAAGTCAGCTGCTGCGGAAACTGATCAGCAGCTGATTCCAGGAAACCCTGGGCAGAGCAACTCTGCCTCCGGCTTCCTGTAGTCAGCGCTGGTCAGTTTCAGCAGCAGCTGACTTGGGGATGCCTGGGGCAGAGCAGCTGGGGTGCTGCCGGGTTGGTCCAGTAGTGCCCAGAGTGGCGCTGCGGGACCAACTGGCAGCACCCCAGCTGCTCTGCCACAGGCGTCCGGAGAAAAGCCTAGTCTGCTGGGGGGGGCACACTAGCTGCGCCCCCCCTCAGCAGACCAGGGACACGGGGAGCAAAGCCACAGCAGCAGTGGGGTACTGCACCTCTGAGGTTCTGCTCTGGCAAAGCCTCAGATGTGCGGGACCCCGCCATCGCTGCGGCTTTGCTCCCCTGCCCCTGGTCTGCTGGAGACGGTCCCCAGCAGACCAGGGGCACCGGGAGCAGCTTTTCTCGCCCCGGAGGTCGAGGTGGCAGGACCACTGCCTACGAGCTCTGGGGCGAGAAAGCCCCGTCTGTAAGTGCGGATCCGACGTAAGTCGGGGACTGCCTGTAATGCTAGCCCGTCTGAATTTGGGGTTTGACAACAGTTTCTCAACTTACTTCATAATCAATCAGGTGTTTATAGCAGAGCAAGTCTCCTTAACTGACAGGGTCATTTAAATAGGATCATACTAGTTTGCCCCAGAGAGCCTGAAACAAGAGTTCTAGTCCTTGGGGAAGGACAACAGCTTTCAGACACTGGTTTCAAATCATTTTCAGTTAAAATGGGTTGTGTTAGAATTTATGGAAATTCACCTAAGGTAAAGTGTTGATTAACATGCATTATCTTCTAGGAATGTCCAAGTGCAGTCAACTACAGAATTAACTGATCAACCTGGTCCTATCAGTTAACTAAATGACCATAGACACACACACACACCCCCACCTACCGCACCCCCACTACCTCAGATACCAAGGCAGCAGGTCGGGGAGAGGCGGCAGCAGCAGCTGGAGCCTGTGAGGAGCCAGCTCCCCATGAGCACTGGGCCCAATAGAGCCACCTGCCAGACTGCACACTGCTTCTGATAGATGCAGCAGCATTGGAGGGGGACAGGCAGGAGCTGGTACACTCAGGAAGCCAGCTTTTCAGCTTGCCCTGTCCCTTTGCTGCATCCCACAAAGACGGGGGAGGAGAAGAGGAAGGCTGGCTCTCAGAACAGCCTGTCCACAGTGGGCCTCAGTCCTCAGAGCTTGGGACTCCTGCAGATAGGGACTAGTGCTACCATGTGCTGACACTTGTATCAGAGGCAGCAGGAGTGAAGCCAGGAGACCACTGGCTGCCAGCCACTTCCCCAGGGACTAATAGTTGTGCTGAAGGCTAATGCAGTTGTAAGATTATTCATTTAACATGGCTATTATCTTCACCATGATTCTAATGAAGTAATAGCTAGATATTTAACTGTGGCTTTACATCAGCTTACTCCAAAGAGAGATTTATATAACCCTACCTAATTCATACAGATGTCCATCCACATTGGCAAACAGAATAAAATGGAAGTTCACTTTATCCTCTTCTACCTGAGATGAAAAAAAACCTAAGTCAGATAGGTTAGTATAGCTTTCCATTACATACACTAATCTTTTATTTTGGACTCCAGTTTGTTAGAGAATCTGGATCCTGCTCTGTATTTGAGAGATACAGTATTTCAACTATTTGGTATGAATAGGAAATGGGAGACAATCAATCTGAAGACTATAATAGTCTAAGTCAACAGGACTAAGGCTCTCTTGCTCCTCCCACACTTGCTATTAGAATATAGCATATCTTTTGTAAAGAAAACAGAAAACAGGAAGTCGCCCAAAATCCTCTAAGACCCATTTTTAAAACGGACTTTGGCAATTGGAACGTTTGAAAGTTGACATGAGAAAGGAGTTACTTCAAAAGTTCACCTCTTTACAGAAGAGACAGTGTAATGCAGCTACTGTCAAGCTGGAGCAATATCCAATACTATTTGGATTGCCACAACCCAAGAAATCTCCCCCATTAGCTACATTAATATATCAAGCTACAATATCGTCCAGCTAGGTCTCATGTGTAAAGCTTACTTGACATTGGCCTTCTTGTGCAACAGCATTATGAACTTCCTGAATAGCCTGACAAGAAAGTAGATACAGATTAATAAACACCAAGTGTTACTGCAATAAGTTTTCCCCAATCCAGTAATTCTCATACCTTGTTATTTTCAAGGCGTTTTGCTCTCTCTTCAGGAGAGAGGTCAGCTGTTTCCTTGAGAAACTTCTTCAGGGCTGAGCCTTCATCTGTGCAAGAGTTTGCCATGGTTAGACAATGAATGTGCTCATATTAGGTTGAGAGTCCAATGCAAAGCTGTCAGTTTGCAGATTTGAAATACACATGCATACACAATGTATCAAGGCTGCCCAGCACACTCCAATTTGGAAAAAGGCTATCTTCAATACTGAGGTATTGCAACACAAGTTTAGACCTAAAACTTAGGTCAAGTTTATGAAATGAGTCACCATGCCACTGAGTGAAATTATATTTTTAATGTCAGCCCTAAGGAGCTGGTTGTTTTCTGCTCCCTTTCCCTGACACCCCCCCCCCCCCAAACTCCAGAATTAATCTGGAAGCAAGTACTGTTTATTCCTATTCCCACTTTGACGCTACTGAGAATTGTGCTGAGTTTGAGCTCATGCTTCAAGCATAGAAGGTAGGCAAAGTTTGTCCCAGTACAACCCGGTTGTCTTTAAAGGGGACAGAATTTCTTCCTGTGCTTTAATTGAAGTATCTGGTGCATGACTAATTTATAGTCTAATTGCTCAGTTTAACTACTCAGACTACCCTCTTCCAACTGAGTGCTGAGTTTCAAGTTACAAGTAGCTCTATCAATTTGGAAGACAAACCAATTCACTTTCGGAATGAGTTTATGTATTCCAGTTGTTAGCCATGTCTTGTTCCCCTGAAATTAATAGTGGATGCCATTATCCCATAGTAGATGCTGTAGGGATACCTAGTAAGACAGTAGCTAAACTGACCATGGCTTTGCTTTAGAGGTGCTGGGGGAGGGAGGAGAGGGGCAAAGAGGTATTTCATTGTTTTAGACTTAACATGAGGTACTAGTGCCTTCATAAGCTTGTGTTTGACACCAGGAATTAACATTTTCTATAGGGAGAAGTCTCCAGGCATTGATGTATGTAAATCCAGGCAAACATAGTATTTACACACTTAGTTCCAACAGAAGTCACCTGCTTTGAGATCAGGTTTTCCAGCACTTTGCATGCCATATGTCCTATGGGGTACTACTGTCTAGCCCAGTTGTCCTCAGCCTGCAGTATGCTTGTGGTCCTATTAGTACTGAGCTGCATCCCATGTAACAGCTTCAGAGCCATAAAGGCATTAGATATGGCCCACATAAGAGGCAATCTGTGCTGCCCACAATGGTAAACAGACCAGTGGTTCTAAACCTAACCTGAGACACTAGTCTATTCCTCATCTGCTTCTCAGAGCAGCTGTGTGTAGGTAACTCAGTTATCAGAAGATACTTTACACCTAATTTTGAATAAAGACTTTAATTATCTTACCCATTACAAAGATAGCTTCCCCAATTATTGCCTCCAATATCATTAGCTCACAGACATTTACTCCCCCCCCCCCCCCCCCCCCCCTGTGTTCATTTTTTTTAATTGTATCCTTTGGTATATATGGTTGTGACAATTTTCTTCCACTGTTTGATCTGAGGAAGTGGATCTGGTCCACGAAAGCTCACCACCTATTAAACCATCTTGTTAGTCTTGAAAGTGATACATTGTCCTGTTTTGTTTCAGCTACACCAGACTAACATGGCTACATTTCTATCAGAAGATAAGTTATTGATAGCCTTAGTACCTGGAAGTGAAATGTTCAGGTAAGAGCTTTAGTCACAAATCTGATCTCTGCAAACCTAGTTGTAATAGGACTTCTAATGTAAAACTGTCTAGCTACTGTAGATCTGTTATATCCAGATCAGTGACCTGACAAATGAGCAAGTTCCCTTTTAAAGCAAGGCTCCAAATGCATACTCACCAAATACAAGTTTATCTTGGTTATTAGCAACTGCATGTATCAGACCAATTGTACCACAGGAATTGCCAACCGTCTGTTTCAAAAAATACACCTTGGAACTAACTTCTTGTCCCTTCAGTTCTTCAATCTGTTTTTTTCTGAAGTTTTCATGCTGCAAACATGCAAGCACATCAATGGATGATAATTTTTAGACATCTTACTTTTTACATAGTTAATACATTTAACAGGGTAGCCAATTGTGGAAAATATAACAGAGGGAAAGTTTGTCAAAAAGCCATCCTTTTTGGAACAGGCCCACATCATTTTAGTTCCACTTGAACAACAATATATGTTGCATAGACTAGATCAAGGTTGTACATGACAAGTTGTAGTATGGGACTCCACTTGTTAAGCTAGCACCAACAGCTATCAGTTAGGCAAAAGTTGGCACGAGAAACTGAGTTTCAAGGACTCATTCTGTCCAAACCACTCAAGAGCTTGCCAAGTTACAGCCAGGTTTGCACACATCTCCAAATAAGAGACAGGTTAAGAATGCCAAAACTTGTTTCTTACACTAGGAATTACACTCCTCTATTCCCCACCCTCAGAGATTTTTAGCTTCAGTTGAGCCAGCTACAGGACCAGCAATATCAAACTGTTTCTCCCACACTAGTAGTTTCAGCTCTTTTGCTATTCATTAGCATACAGTTCTATCATCTAGACAATTGAGACTTGAGGCTTAAATTGTGCATCTAAAATTATATTCTCCATTCAAGTTATTAATTCCTATTAGTATGGTGCACACCCCCAACCTGCCAACTTGGGCAACAGAGAAACTTCATATCACTGTTATAGTAGTTTTGTATTGTATGCTTATGAGGCAGCAATTACTGAAACAGAATATCAAGGATATTCTTCCCTTGAAGAACCCTTAAACTCTGTTTTAATTAGTCATATGGTCATGCAGAGGAAGCTTCAGTGACAGTAAGGCTTCACCTCACTCTAGGACATTCACAGATGGAGTGGAGGAGTGAATACATACACTAAGTAATAAGTTACCTGCTTTTGTTTTCAGTTTACTATGTAGACTATGGGATTATTCTGCTCGTGTTTTCAAGAATGAATGCAACTAATTATTTGCCGGATATCCAGATTTCTCTAACCTGCATCTGTGTATCTGGTCTTGAAACCAGCAGTCATTTGTTTTTTAAGTGCCAGGTCAGGAAATGGTTCAGTTGTAGCTCCTGATGGTGCTGTCAAGTTATTTCTTCTACATGTCTGAGATGATCTGCTTTCTGCTATCAAGTTACGTGGATTAGAGAGACCTGATTTTACAGATTTAAGGGAGGGCTAATTTAGAGTAATAATATCCAGGTAGGGGAACAGATATGTTAATACAATGGATTCTCTCTGCAAACTTCATAATAGCAATACAAATTTAAAGTCCAGTCAGGTTTTCCAGGTGTTCACATCAGTTATAATTCACTGTGCATCACATACTATGGAGGTGGGCCTCCTGCCAGTGCCAAGAGACTGGCTTAGAGTGCTGCATATGTATATCCCATGACATCATACAAGGGAGGAGACTCAGTGAAATCTCTCTGGTCTCAACGACCATATATAATAGGGTTCATCTCCAATTTGGCAGAGGAAAACAAAAGAGCCCTGCTGATTCAGCAAGCATCTCCCATACACAGACAGAACTCTGCACAAATGGCAGCTGTTGGCTTTTCTCATCTCATGGACCTACCTGGGCAGTGAGGGGAAAGAGCAGGAGTAGAGCACAAGATGGGGTGGGCACAGAGCTCAACACATCTTCCTCAAACCCCAGCACATCCACAAAGTGCCAGCCAGGGGCAACACCCAGCCGGGACAACACCTGCAGGGAGAGGAGAGTAGGCAGATGGGGGAAGCAGTCGCCTCCCGCTGTGCTCACCAGGGAAGGGTTGGGCTAAGCAGGAGCCCCCCCGCCCCGCCTCTCCCAGGCAGCCGCCTTCGCTGACACACAGCCCTGCTCTGGCTACAGGGCCAGCGGGGAGACCGCCCACCTCCAGCCAGTGACACAGCACAAACCGCGGAGCCGCAGCGCCACCTGCTGCTGAGCCAGGACCCAGCCCCGCACGTGGGGCGGACTCAGACGCAAGCACCACTCGAGGGGTCGCCCGGCCCCCACCCACTGCATGGCGGCCCCGCAATGCGCGCCGCGCCGCCCAGCCCCCTGCGGAGGCGTGACAGTGCAGCCGCGCCCGCGGCATCACGCTCCGGCCCCACCCCGGCGGGGATGCAAGAAGGAGCCGCTCCCGCCTGCTGCTCCGGCCCGACAGACCCGCAGCTCCTCCGACGCCGGCCACTCACTTTGTTCAGCATCTGCAAGACAAAGGGGATGAACGAGGGAGCGACCCCTGCAGTCCCGCCCCTCCCCCAGCCCTGCCCCCACTCCGTCCCCAGCGCTCCGCCCAGCACCGCTGCCTCTGGCGACCCTCCCCCTACATTTACCCCTAGCTCCTCGCCCAGACCCCCATTCACATAGCCCTGCGCCGCCCTGGAGCCTGCCCCAACCCCCCATTCACCCAGCCAGCCACACCCCACTCACTCCTACTAATCCGTAATCCTAACCTCCCGCTCCGCTCACCTCGGGGTTAATCTCCATGGGCTGCCACTGCATGGTGCTCGGGGACGGTGGCGGCAAAGCAAACGCCAAAAACAGAAGAACGCGCTGAGACCGACTGCTCTGCAAACAGGAGCCGCCCGCCCTGCGCTATATACCGTCGGGCTGACTCACTCCGGGCCTCAGCAGGGGGGAAGGGGGAGGAGCAGGGGCAAAACCAATCTAGGGGGAACCGCTCGGCTGTTCATTGCCGTCCGTTCCCCCTCCCCAAGAAACAATGGTACTTCCCAGCCCAACCCCACCTCCAAACCCCTCCAGTGCGTTTCCCTGGAGCGGTGATGGCAGGTGCGTGCCTGTGGGCTGTGTCTGGAGCGCGCAGCACAACAAGGCTGGTCCCCAGGTCTGTGCAGACGTTGCCAGGAGGCAAACACGTGGTATTCTGCAAGCGCAACAAGGGAGCAAGGTTGTCAGGAGTGTGGTGCCAGAAAGCACTAGGATGATGCTATGCTAATGTCATAGCTGCCTGTTGTTTGACAGTGTACGGTATTGTGCACCATGTTTTGCTGAAGTATCACGGAGTCATGTATTATCGGGCAACTGCAGAAGTGTGTTATGTTCCAGGCTAGTGCTGTGACGCAGCACTAGAAAAAGATGGAGAAAGGAGAGGGTTATCTTGCAATCATGTGAAGTCTGTATTTGATTAGTCCACTATCTCCATTGTTTTGTTCACAATAACATGGTTCAAAAAGAAACCCCCAAACCAAATAGTTAATAAAAATAAAGAAAAAAACACTTGAGAAAACAGTACCTTACGAACCCTGCGGTTACCCTCCCTTCCCCCCAAGCCTTGTGCAAAATCCTAGCTCTTGCCCTCCGTGAGAATTGACCTATTAACCACTTCACTGCTGGCAGAGGGATCAAGAGTTATTCCTACATAATTTTAGAAAAGCTAGAGTTCCTTGGAGGAAGGTTTCTCAAATCCCATGTTCTTTCCCTTCCCAACTCCCCACTATAAGGCTCCATGAGACTTTCTTCAACCTTACACATCAATTCTTTCCTCTTTTTCAAAAGGAAAATTGGCTTTATTGCTACTACTCCCTGCCAACTTGCCTTGTCCACTGAAGGGTACCAAAGAGAAATACAGAATAGACAGGTGAGTCAGTAGTCAAGATACTATGCTGTAAACACAAGACAATGCACACGACTCTTTGGGTGCGTCTAGACCGGCAAGATTTTGCGCAAAAGCTGTCTACACTGGCCGCTTGAATTTGCTGAAGAGCACTGACTTTGTAATGTACAAAATCAGTGCTTCTTGCGCAAATACTTTCACGCTCCCGCTCGGGAAAAAGCCCTCTTGCGCAAGAATACTTGCTCAAGAGGGCCAGTGCAGACAGGGAAGAATTGTTTTGCGCAAAAAAGCCCCGATGGCTAAAATGGCGATCAGGGCTTTCTTGCGCAGAATCACGTCTAGACTGGCTATGGATGCTTTTGCCAATCTAGACGCTCTTTTGCGGAAATACTTTTAACAGAAAAACTTTTCCGTCAAAAATATTTCTCCAAAATCATGCCAGTCTAGATGCAGCCCTTGTGTCTCCTCCATAAATAATAGCCTCCCACATTTATTTTGATCTGTTTTCACTTGCAATTACTTAAGTCTTACTGTTTATACTTAATAAAGACACTTTTATTTACTATCAGACCCAGTGTAAATAATTGGTTCCTGGTAGGAAGGTCCTGTGTGTATTTCTTTTTCATTGATAAAAGAGTGTGAACATCTTCATGAGCTTTCCTTGTGTAAAACTTTTATCCAGCGAAAGATGGATTTATTTGGGGTTTTGATCCCTTGGGGGGGGGGGTTGATTTCCTGGGTGTTGTGTCCTACAACTGCATCCTCCCAGAGCTAAAGTAGTTGGCTACGTCTAGACTGGCATGATTTTCCGCAAATGCTTTTAACGGAAAACTTTTCCGTTAAAAGCATTTGTGGAAAAGAGCGTCTAGATTGGCACGGATGCTTTTCCGCAAAAGCACTTTTTGCGGAAAAGCGTCCGTGCTAATCTAGTCGTGCTTTTGCGCAAAAAAGCCCCGATCACCATATTCGAGATCAGGGCTTTTTTGCGCAAAACAAATCTGAGCTGGCTACACTGGCCCTTTTGCGCAAAAGCTTTGTGCAAAAGGACTTTTGCCCGAATGGGAGCAGCATAGTATTTCTGCAAGAACACTGACAATCTTACATGAGATCGTCAGTGTTCTTGTGGAAATTCATGTGGCCAGTGTAGACAGCTGGCAAGTTTTTCCGCAAAAGCAGCTGCCAGTCTAGACGCAGCAATTCAGTGTCTGCATTGCTCTTCCAGGGAGGGGGAGCAGTAAACCCAACTCTGTGCCTTCTCTGGGAGGAGACAAGGGAATCTGGCCTAGCAGGATAGAGTGGCGGGGAGCCCCTGAGAGCAAGGAGGTGGATGTCAGTGGCCTGATCAGCCCACCAGTGAGCAATCCCAAGGGGTCTTCTGTGAATGCACCCTGTCATAGTAACATCCTTTCATTTTTTAGTAATTAATTATGTTTGCATATTTCTGAGTTAATTCAGTTAAGTCACTTATTTTTTTTAAGTGTAAGTATCTATCTAAGGCTAAAAACCTTAGGCTGCGTCTAGACTGGCATGATTTTGCGGAAATACTTTTAACGGAAAAGTTTTTCCGTTAAAAGTATTTCCGCAAAAGCGTGTATAGATTGGCATGGACGCTTTTGCGCAAAAAGTGCTTTTGTGCAAAAGCATCCATGGCCAGTCTAGACGTGATTTTGCACAAGAGAGCCTCAATCGCCATTTTAGCCATCGGGGCTTTTTTGCACAAAACAGTTCTTCCCTGTCTACACTGGCCCTCTTGAGCAAGTATTCTTGCGCAAGAGGGCTTTTTCCCAAGCGTGAGCGTGAAAGTATTTGCGTAAGAAGCACTGATTTTGTACATTACAAAGTCAGTGCTCTTGCGCAAATTCAAGCGGCCAGTGTAGACAGCTGGCAAGTTTTTGCACAAAAGCGGCTGCTTCTGCGCAAAATCTTGCCAGTCTAGACACACCCTTGCTCTTTTATTTTTAATTCTGTTGTTACTGTTCTAATAAACTAGGGCTTTAAGTTATGTAACCGTCTTTGACATTATTTGACCACTCTGTTCACCATTTATTCTTGGATTGATCAGATACACAACCCTAGTCACAACTGAAGTAGTAGGAAAAAGACAAGGTTACAATCAGAATTATGCAATGTATATGAAACAGCAATAGGCATCTTGCCCATACAAGCAATAAAAGGGTTAAAGTGCCTAGGAAGCCAATTATGCTACCTGGCTGCACCTGGAGGATGGCTTAATTATAGATGATGCGTAGTTGGGGAAGGAGCTAGCTAGTGATAGTGAAAAAACAAAACTCAGAGTAGGAAGAAGATTGTAAAGAGAAGAGAATAGGATAGGCTCTCTGTAGTTCCCTTCTTGGAAATGAAGAACAGAAGAGCTTCAAAAGGGAGATTAAACTCTGGTGCTTAGGGGAGAGGATAGCAAGGATGAAGGAGGCTTCAGAGTGGGCTAACCTAGAGGCAGATAATTTGGAGAAAGACTGGCATTGAGGATCCAGGTTAAGGCAAAGTCATTAAAGAGACCCTTAAAAGACAGTGCTTAGCAGAATAATGAGGTATGGAGACCCAGGATGGATCAAGTGGGGGAAGGTGGAGATGTTGGTTTTGGTGTGTTTTGCTTGGTCGAGAGCATTCAGGGAGAAGTGCATAAGAACGACTGTACTGGGTCAGACCAAAGGTCCATCTAGCCCAGTAGTCTGTCTGCCGACAGTGGCCAGTACCAGGTGCCCCAGAGAGGGTGGACCAAAGACAATGATCAAGCGATTTGTCTCCTGCCACCCTTCGTCAGCCTCTGACAAACAGAGGCCAGGGACACCATTTTATCCCCTGGCTAATAGCCTTTTATGGACCTAACCTCCATGAAATTATCTAGCTTCTCTTTAAACTCTATTATAGTCCTAGCCTTCACAGCCTCCTCTGGCAAGGAGTTCCACAGGCTGACTACACGCTGTGTGAAGAAGAACTTTCTTTTATTAGTTTTAAACCTGCTACCCATTAATTTGATTTGGTGTCCTCTAGTTCTTCTATTTAGGGAACTAATAAATAACTTTTCTTTATCGGCCCTCTCCACAACACTCATGATTTTACATACCTCTATCATATCCCACCTCAGTCTCCTCTTTTCGAAACTGAAATCCAGATCATTTCTGAATAAGTTGAACAGGATTGGTCCCAGGACTGACCCTTGGGGGACACCACTAGTTACCCCTCTCCATTCTGAAAATTTACCATTTATTTCTACCCTTTCTTTCCTGTCTTTTAACCAGTTCTCAATCCATGAAAGGACCTTCCCCCTTATCTCATGGCAATGTAATTTACACAAGAGCCTTTGGTGAGGGACCTTGTCAAAGGCTTTCTGAAAATCTAAGTATACTATATCTACTGGATCCCCCTTGTCTGCATGATTGTTAACCCCTTCAAAGAACTCTAATAGATTAGTAAGACATGATTTCTCTTTACAGAAACCATGTTGACTTTTGTCCAACAAATTATGTTCTTCTATGTGCCTCACAATTTTATTCTTTACTATTGTTTCAACTAATTTCCCCAGTACTGAAGTTAGACTTACCGGTCTGTAATTGCCAGGATCGCCTCTAGAGCCCTTTTTAAATATTGGTGTCTTAAATATTGGTTTCAAGTGATGGGCCTATTATCCTGACGGTAGAGGATATTTTCCCTAGCCTTAGGGAAAATGGCACCTTAGATGAAGTTGTATTTTGGTGTCCCTTGAGTTTAAGTATGTAGTAGTGCTAGGTTACGTCTACATTGCATGGCTACCTCTGATATTCTGAAATAGCTACCCTGTATCTTAACAAGATACCTGCTATTTTGAAATATTTTTTGAAATAACAGGCACACTGTTTCAGCATCCCTGTAACCCTCATTCCATGAGGGTTAACGGATGTCTCAAAATAGTGAATTATTTCAATTTGGCGCTGTGTAGACACCAAATTTCAAAATTCAATCTAAATAAGATACGCAATTTGCGCAGCGCAAATTGCATATCTTATCTCGAGTTTAGGGTGCTGCGTAGATGCAACCTTAGTGAAAATTTCAGAAA